AAAGGCAGACAAACTGGAAGTTCTATGTAAACTCTAGCTTTTGTTTCTTCCTAAACAATAAGATTGTGCAGGGAAGGTTTATGCTGCCATCATTCAAAGCACCCTGGTGCATGGCCATTTCAGCTGGGTTTCCTTTTCTTTCCTATTTATTTATTTATTTATTTATTTATTTACTTACTTACTTACTTACTTACTTACTTATTTATTTTTTGACCAGGCAGCAGCTGTGTCTTCTCTTCTGGTTTGTCTGCCTTAGCTAAGAGGAAGTTAGTCAGAGGTTGAGAATTTTGAGGGTAGTTCTACTTACAGAGCTGTTATAAACTAACATTGAAATTTTTATACTTTAAAATATATGGTAAATATAGTGCCTCATGCTTCCCCTCAAATGAAATAAATTAATGTATAAAGGAAACTACTGCCCCCCTGCCCCCCATGGTAATTTTTGTTTTGTTCTTTTTTCTGTTGGTCTTTATTTAAAAAATGTTTGGAACCTTTCTAACAAGTAGCCAGAGAGGGACCAAAAAAGTCTATTCAACATCAACAGCACATCTGACAACATTTAAAACTTCAGCATGTCTTACTGAGCTACATACAGGTTCTTCCAGTACAATTTCATGACTAAAAGCTGCTTGATTACAAGGTCAAGGTGATAAAGCCAAGAACGGTAGGTGAGCCTGACAGAAAATGAACAGAAGACCACCCCTTCCTAGTAGCACAAGCTAGTCTTGCTCTCTTGCAGAGAACAGCCAGTCTGTCTGGCTTGCCAGGGCCTGGCTTTTGTCCTTCAGCTGTCGTTTCTGTCATTTATTGTGGACGAGCTACTGGAAGAGGAGAAAAATAGGTTCTCTGAAGGCTGCAAGGCTTCCAGCAAAACTGAAACAATCCTGGTTTTAATCTATCTGATGGTCATATATCTGGGCATTATTTGTCTGAAATGGTCAGTCCCAATTTAATGGGAAGCATGGGGTGCTATAAATCCAGGGGGTGAAAACCAAGCAAAGGAAAATTCAGGCCAAATAGTCATGAGCTTGGATGAGGAAAGGGTGAAGTGTGGTCAGTGTGCTCAGTGCCTCGAATTAGACTGGGGGAACTGTGGAGAGAAGCCCACTGTGGACTCCTTCTCTAGGTGAGTTCCCACTGGGTTTGCTTAGCAAATGTGCTCACCTGCTTCTCTGCTTCTGAAATCCATTTCATGGAATGTGTGAAAAAAGTGAGTTAAATGCAGTACATTAAAAGGTGTATAAGATTCTGACCACTTTCATCAGAGAACTAGGTGTCTTCCCAGTACCCCCTGCAAGTTTTGCACTGGGTAGAAAGAGGCGTTCTCCCAGTTTATAGTGGGGGCAGTGAGTAGCTTGATTAGCCTCCATGAGCTGCCAGCCCCCATCTACTTTCTGCATTTCTCTGTCTTCCTGGCTCTATGCCTTGGAAGCTTCACGTCTTCGATGGCAGTATTAGTTTCCCTTTGGTTTAGCCAACAGGTGTCATCAGAAGGAGATGAGAAGACAAGATGAGGGAGAGGTTGGGATATTTATTCCTTCTGCTCCCTCCCTGATCCCCAGCCTCCAACAGTGACTGCATTCTTATAAGGCAGGGGTCTGTACACACTTCCTGTAAAGGGCCAGAGAGTAAATATTTTAGGCTTCATAGGTCAAAAGGCAAACTCAAGGATATTATGTAGGTACTTATATAGCCATTTAAAAATTAAAAAAAAAAAACAAAAAACATTCTTAGGTTGTAGGCCACATGAAAACAGGTGGCATGACAGGTTTAGATTGCTAACTCCCTCTCTGTGGCCACAGCTCCCATTGGGTGGCCTCTTTCTCTAGGGCGCTGGTTCCAGTGACACCGTCTTCCCTCCTTGCTCTTCAGGCCTCAGGGTGTAAGAGTGCTTACTGTTGCTGGTCCCTGGGTGCCTCACCATTGCTGAAGTTTACCTTAGCCCCGCCCATATCTACGCTAGTTAGACCCTTTTGAATGTGCCTTCTGTTTCCTGTCAGGACTGTGACAATTCCAGTGACATGTTTCAGGAAGAGGAAGCAGAGTTTATTTATGGTACTACATGAGGCTAAATGTTTTTTCCAAGGCCTAGTGATGTCTGTAGGCATGATGGCTAGAACGGGGCTCATCTCGGAACATGCATTCATGTTAAACAGCAGTTCTGGTAGCAGGTCTGCCCTCCTTCTGGACAAACAGTATATATTATGACTTTTGAGTTCCTTTCTGTGCTTTTGTTTTCAAACTTTCTTGTTCCTACCCTTCCGTCACCCCACCCAGCCCATCTCCTTTCCTCAAAGAGATGGCAAGAAGAATGTCACCTTCCTTGAACTGAGGGTGCCAAAGCGATCTGTGTGGATGATAAGAGATAGTCTAATTGGCACGATGCTCTGGGAATGGTTTCATAATTATATCTTATGCCTCATCTCTTTAATAACAGGTGGTAGATTCTCCACTCTGTGCCAGGTACAATGCTGTTTATTGGCATTCAAAGTGAGTTAAGTATAACTGGGGCCTCCAGGGGGTCAAATCTGGTGGAGAGAAGACTCATAAACATGAGCAATCACACCAGGGCATTGTACGTCTCCCACCTAAAGTGGGCTGAGCAAGCGTTGGCATGAGCTGCTCCACCAGCAAGAGGGGCGTTTACACTTTCTCATATCCTAATGAAGGAGTTCTGAGGTGCCTAGCGAGTCTACCAGCATCATAGGTCTTTCCTATTCAGCTGTTTTGGTGATTCCTTGAGATTCAGATACTCAGCCACTTAGCATTAATCCAGCAGTTGTGTCTGTGGTAAAATGGACTGTGAAATCTAATATAGGTCTCCTGAAACTCCTGACAAATCATTGAGGTATGATCATGGCCTCTTTGCCAGGCACCACAGTTCCCGCCCTCAGGGAACATCCAATGGAAGGCTGGCTGGGACCTTTGGTTACAATTTCTTAACTGGGCTTGTTAAAACCCACATCGCTGGCCCCTACCGCACAAACTGCTGATTCAGTAGATCTGGGTTGGGGCCTGAGAATGTGAGGAGGAGGAGGCCTAGGAGCAGGGACTCTGGAGGGAGTGGTAACTGGGGCAATAGCAGGGTTTGGATGTGAAATTTGATAAGGGAGGCAATGGGGGAAAAGGAGTTCCATTTAATAAAAAAAAGTGAGCAAGTCGTGAGAGCCAGTGTGCCTTTGAAAGCATTTTGTGAGACTCTGGGTCATTAGGTTTGAGACATTAGGCCTAGGAATCTGTGTTTTTAAAGCGTTCCCAGGTGCTTCTGAGACTCAGCCAGGTTTGAGAACCTCTGTGTACTCAGTATCTGGTAGCGCTGGGCACCTAGCAGATGTACAACAAAAACTCATTGGATCGATACTTATTCCAAGTGGGTGTTGGGAATATCTTTAGATTGCTAAATTGAGTTGTCCATATCCCTATTTTTTTTTCATAAAACACAGTCTTAAACCACCAGTTAATAAAGGAATAGCATGCTTTCAAGCAGAAATTAGATTCTTCAAACAGAATTAATGTTCCCTAACATCCAGATTACAGAAATAAAAACCTGGCTATAACTAAATATGTTGTGTTAGTCACAAGGTACAGATTGCTGCAAATAGTGTCATAGAAAATCTCCCTTCTTCATCTCTGAGATACTGTTTGGCTCCTTCCTGTTCTGTGCATGCATGCACGCCACTTCTTGTTCTACATTAGAAAATAATTAGAAGCAAACAGCTGTTAGTCAAGCAAGCTATATTTTGGTCATATCTTTCCAGAGTTCAACGCATTGCCCCAGGGGTCTTATCTTAAAAAAGAATCTCACTGCTTTAGACACAGCAAACCAAAATGAAGATACATTACAATTAGTGTAGGCAAGAGCTGGCTCAGCTGGGAAGAGGCAGCTACCAATAAAGTTTCATTCTACTGTTTAAAATAATATTTCTTTTGATTTCATAGAAGCGCTGTTCTAAAATCAGCAAATAACTCAGAGAATGATGAATGTTATTTTTACTGTCATTGGAACAGGGATAAGGCTGTGTGTGTGTGTGTGTGTGTGTGTGTATGTGGGGGTGTTGTGTGTGTGTGGTTATATGAGAGCTGGCTCTTATACTGAGTCTTTCACTTGAGGCCTTGGAATTGGTCCAGTTCTGTTTGCAGCACAGAACTAGAGCCTGTAGACCTGAGTTGGGGTTTTGGGTTCCAGACCTGGGCAGAGCAAGGACTTTGTTTATCTCAGTTTTCTCCTGTAGGAAAAATGAGAGTGGGGACAGATTTTCTCAGAGTCTTTCAGCTATAACTTTCTAGCTATGTCTGACAATTGCTCATGGGCAAGGCTGAAGAACAAGGGTGTTGAATGAATCTCATGGATTCAAAGACATTTATGTCCCAGAGGAAGAGGAAAGAGGTTTTCAGGAAGCAAGAACTGTCTCCTATGGCTTAAACTTTCTAATAAGCTGAAGAGTTTTAAGCTCTGGGGCTTGGGGTGGGGAGTGGGGGTGGGGTAAAGAGAGATGGTAGAGATAAAAGGGTTTTATTCATAGCCAGATAGAGTGAGTCCTAGATCCATGGCTGATGCAGTCCACCAAATTGTCCTGATACACTGGCAGGAGGCTCGGATAAAGGAGAGTGGGCTTATGTTCCGGCAAGAAGAATAGAGACGAGGCTTCAAACGGAATTCTGCCATTTTTGTTAGTTAATGGAATTGCCTACCTATGAAGTTATGAGATGTTACAGAAATTCATAAAGATTTTCTGGGGTTATGACCCAAGTCATGTGACTCATATTCCACTCTCATTCCACTGCTTTGCCATGGTGATTTTTAAAAGCCTAATTCTCAACCTGGCTAATGCAGGAATGGAGAAAGGAAGTATTTTTAAGTCCATGATTTTAGAAATTTGTTCCACTGTGACAAGCTGGAATTTGGTTTGAAATTTTATCATGCCAAAGGGGTCTAATTCTTTTTATGTAAGTGTTTTCTCAGCAGTGAGGATGGTTTTTTTGAGTGGAAAGAGACACACCTTGATCGGAGAGTACCACTTCCGGGGAGAGGAAGACCGACGCATGTTGTTGTTGAGATTTCGAGGTTCAGGGAATTCATATTCCTGCTCTGGCATCTTGACTCTTGCATTCTTTGCCTTTTCCAACTTAGCACCTTCTTCTGTGGAGCCCTTTTCTCCCCAGCGAACCTAAATTAAATAACATACAAAAGACAAAATAAGAAAATAAAATATAATGGGGATCACACATATATGTGTGATATACAGTGGGAGTGCTCTCTAATCCTCTATTCCTTTGGGCTTCGAGGGCCAGAGAAGAGGTAGGTGTGGAGGAAGGGAAAAGGGGAGGACTGAGGGAGCAGAGAGAGCAGCGATGTGGGTGAATATCTAGGAAAGGAATTGTGCAGGCCATGGGGACAGCATGTGCAAAGGCCTTGCAGGCCCAGGTAAGAACTCTGGATTTTAGTCCAGTGAGAGAGTAAACCTTTGGGGATTTTGAGAAGATGAGCAAACGGCTCTGACTCATGGTGGGCAAGATATGAGGGTACATATTTAAAAAGCTGTACCTGCTACCTCTCCATCTCATGCCTCACAATCCACATCCCCACCAGACCTCAAGTATGAGTGTTCACCAGTTTGCTTGGGTTTTCCAACACTGAGTGGTCAGCACATAGATAGGAGTACATGAAATTGTCCTCTTACCTCCATCCTTTTAATGCCTCCAACACCTCGCCCACCATAGTAAGAGGCATCGACTGTAGGCCACTTTTTCTTAGGCAGACCATCATCATCTTCTTCCTGCATTGTGAACATGAAGAAAGCAAAGCACCATTGCTGTATGTATGTGTCCGCTATGTCATGTGAACAGGAGTAGACTGCCTGGGTTAAACCCCAGGGTCGCTGCTTCCTGGGGCCTTCGGCAAGTCACTCATCCTATCTAAACTTATTTTCCTTCTCCGTAAATTAGGAATAAAAGCAGTACTAACTGCTAAGGTTGTGGCACAATCCTGGGACCTGTTCTCTCCTGCATCTCTACTGGTTTTAGGGTAACTCACCTAATCCCATCTACATGCTGATGATTTGTTAATTTGCTTCTTCATCCCTGACTCCTCTGAACTCCAGTTGTTGACAATGACCTCTCCTCTTGGGTGACTAATCAACATCTCAACAATAGCACGTCAGAAAAAAGTCCTGATTTCCTCACCTTAAATATGCTGCTCCCACAGTCTCCCCACTGCCCTGGAAGTCACTCTGGAATTCCCTTTCTCCTCCACTGCTCCTCCCCCACTCTATCCCGATTTGTCAACAAGTTCTGTTGACCCCACTTGTAAAAGATCCCAAATCTGTGACTTCTCCAACTTGACCTTCATCACCACACCACCACGCTGGTTCTAAGTCCTCATAAGCTTTCTCCTGGGTACTGCAACAGACTAACTGGCCTCTCAGCTGCCCTCTTATTTGCCTACAATCCGTTCTCCACAAAGCAACAGAATAAAATCCAAACCCCAGCTCTGCCCTTCGAGCTCTGGCCTTTGCTCACCTCTCCAGCCTTCTTCCTCACCACGCTTTCCTCCTCCCTGCACTCCAGCCTGCTTGTCCTCTTTCTGTCCCTCAGATACTCTGAGCACATTCCTGTCTCAAGGCCTGTGCATAAGCTGTCCCCTTGTCCAGGGATGCTTTTCCTCTGGTCTTTTCATGGTTGAATCCTTCTTACTACTCCTTGGAGAGGCTTTCCCTTGACATCTTTCTAAAGCAGCTCCAGTCCCTTTGTCCTATTGATTTGTTTTATTTTTAGTTATAGATCTTATTATCAGTTGATGTTTATTTATTGTCTGTCTTTCCATGCTGGAATGTAGGTTCTATGGAAGCTTCTGTTTAGTTGTTGTGTTTACCATTGCGTTCTCAAATTTTAGAACAGCGCCTCGTATGCAGTAGGTGCTCAAAGATTATCTGTTGAATTTACAAATAAATTAAAATAAAGCAGTTAACTCAGTGTCTGCAACTTAGCTCAGTGACAAGAAGTTAGCATTTATTAGATATTTTTTAAGATGAAAGGGGAAAACAAAAGAAACTTGTAACTTTATGAAAAAGGGAAGGATAATTAGCAAAACTGCTCCTCATCTCAGCACTGTAATTATTCGTGTTGTGGGGAGAAAAAGATCACCATCTACAGCCAGAGAAGGCTTTTAGGGTGGAGAAAGGAAGCTGAAAAAGGGGTCTGCAAAGCAGGGCAATGAGCCAAAGAAGATGAAACCGCTCAGAACAAGCCTGCTTCCCACAGTCTTGTGCTGGTGGTATTTGGGGAGTCAAAGCTCAGGGTGGAGTCCCATGTAGGGCTGCCATTGTGTGGAAAGGGGTGTCTCATGAAGGAGGCAAGGTACATGGCAAGGGCGAGTGGTTGGCGGGAGAGAAACCAGAGCCAGAGGTGACAAACAAAACAGTAACACATTAATACACTGAGATTCCCTAGGTGACCCACCTGCTGTGCGTGGGATGGGCAGGTTTCTTTAAAAAAATTTTTAAAAATTTAATATATCTTAAAGGACAGTGAAAACAGCAGACCAGAGGACTTAGAACATTCTGGCAGCTGACACTTGGGTTGATCTCTCTTTCTTTCTCTTTTTAAAACAGATCTGTCTTTGTTCATATAGGACTGTGAGTCCTAAAGGCAGAGTGGATCCTGTAGACCCTGTATTCTATGAAGGTCTTGTACAAAGCCTGGTGCACAGCAGGTGCTCAATAAACACATACTGAATTTGCAATGACCACAGGTGAATTTATGTAGCTTCTACCATGTGCGTGCCAACACTCTTCTAAGTGCTTTACATGTATGAACCCTTTAGTCTCACAATGAGCCGTGAGGTAGGTGGTCTATTCTTTCCATTTTAGGGAGGAGGAACAAAGAGGTTAAGTGACTTAGGTCACCCAGCGTGTATGTGGCAGAGCTGGATTTGAGCCCCGGCAGCCTTACTCTTGTTTGTTTCGCAGTGTTGGCAGTTCTGGGTTTTGTCTCTTTGCATTGTGTTTTTCTAATCATTTGATGGAATCAAATAAATGTGAGTTTTCTACTTTTCACTCCTTTTATCTGCTAATTTTGAAGACATAACCATGAAACATGACAAAATAATAAAATAGAAACAAAGAAAATCCCCAATAATATAATAGTTCACAGTATTTTGCCTGATAATTTCAGAAGGCTTCTGATGTCAAACCAGGAACCTCGGGTATTTCACATATATGGTTAAATTTTGCCACTAGTGGCGGATGCGTGTGTGTCTGTGTGTCATCTATGAAACAGCTTTGAAAAGCCTGGGCCTCCCTGGCCTTATGTCATTTTCCAAAGGTGGTATCACCCAAAACGGGGCACAGCAGCACCGAAAATGTGAGAGACTCCAAGAATAAAGCTGGTTAATCAACGTAGATCTGAAGTGGTCTCATGAGTCTTCTAATTTTTTAAATGACAGGAGGACGAACATCGGCAACCACCTAACTGAGCCTTTTCATTGCCCGGAAGATACTTGGATCCAGAGTAATGAAGAGACCAGTGGACTCGAAGTTCTGGTTTGGCTTTCTGATCCCTTTTTCCAGGATCTCCCCACCATCCTCGCACACATCCCCGCTGCCCTTCCCCTCGATTCTTCCCTCTTGCTCAGGACTTGCTGTGGCCTCTATTTCTGGGCGGTGCCTGGGTGGGAAGGCCGGGCCAGCCTCCTGCGCATGTGCAAAGGCCTGCGTTCCACCAACAGGAAATACCAGGACTCAAATCGGCTCCACACGCTCCTGATCAACCAAGGCTGCAGTTTAATCCCCTGACCTGGGCTTGCCTGCCAAACTCAAACGACAGCAAGAGACTACACAAAGGCCCAGGGTTTGACCAACGAGAGAGTCAGAATTTCCCTGCAGTTACCATGGCTCTGTTTACACATTCTAGAGAGGCGAGGGTTTTGCAATCTTCAGAAGAGAAGGGACTCTTTGATGTGTCTTTGGCCAAAAACTGATGGCGTAAAGTCAGTCCCCAGCAGTTCCACTAAGAAAAGCGGCAGCACTGGAGGTGAACCTCTACATTTAAGTACGAGTGCTCTTAGGAAGTTCCCCTTACACTGACCTTCAAGGATGGAGCAGAGAGGAGAAAACCACCAAGATAGAAACACCATCTATGATTTTTGGAGGACAGACGAGATAAACTGAGGTGCTTTGAGTGAGCAAAGTAGTAGGAATCAGGAGTTTGTAGTCAGCCAGCAGGAGATGAGCAGAAAAGAGTGGAACTGAGCTACCAGTAAACGGCCAGGGTCCACCTGAGGAGTGGGCTCTGAGAACCTCCCAGCAGTGGGAATGGCAGGGATGGTAAAGAGGAGGCTGTTTAACATTTGCTCTGAAGTTATTCACTGGCTGTACTGTGTTGTAACCCACCCGTACTTTTAAACCTTCAGTAAATGTCCCTATGCAGATGGCCTTGTGCCAGCAATGCCTTTGAGGGAGTGTAGGAACTGGATTTGTTACATGGAGTCTAACAAAGAAGAGGGCATATCACAGAAGCAGCCAGAAGTAGGAGTCAGTGGTGCCTGGAGATACCGCAGAGATTAGGGAGGAGTGCTGGTTTCCCATCAGGGGAAGTTATATTTATATCTAAAAGGATGTGGTGGCCCCAGATGTCCAATCGGCTGATGTTTGGGTCACACAAGTGACAGCACATTACTCAGCTGGTAGAGGCCCGTTCTGACCTGCTTGTGCTCAGGCAGATCGAGGTGTGTTCTCAGTGTGTTCACAGTCCTGCTCACGTTTGGTTATCTTATAATTGGATTAGTCCCGTGCTGCCCTCAGTCACTGAACTTTTCGGTCTTTCCAATCATGTCAGGCTTTTGTACCACTCCACATGCTTGGAACACCCTTCCCCCATTTCCTTTACCCACATTTTAAGATTATACTCAAATGTAATCTATTTTATGCATAACTCCCTGATTCCCCAGAGAATTCAATGCTCCCTTTTTGTTTTTCCTACAGCTCTTTGTAGTGACTTTTCCCGACTCAACAAACATTTAACTATTAGTTATTAGGCAAAGCAGTGAGTATAAGGGTGAGATCTCTGACCCCAGGGCTGCCTCACTTCTCCATATAGACTGTGCACTGGACAATTCCACAGGTATGATAGGAACAGCTCCCTCTGGAGTTGTGCATATGACTCAATCTACAAGTTTTAACATTCTTGCTTCTCTGATATCCATTTGCTAGCAGAACCAGATGGCCAGCTTGACCCAAATAGGTTCTCAACCCCCAACTCACTACAGGGACCAGTGGAAATTATGGAAAGAAGAACGTAACTGAAACAGAATCGAGCCCAAGGAAATAGTTTTAAATCAGTCTTTGAATTTATTTAAAATTTAATAGAATCAACACATCTTAAACCCTATGGACAGCCCTAATAGCACCAAACAAGGACCCTTTACTTGTCTATTCTTTCATTTACTCACTCAAACAGCTGTAGCTGAGCCCCACCATCCCTCTGCTCCACCAGCAAAGGGCTATATTTTGAGAAAATAAAGAGAACGCAGCATCAACAAGACCGTTTACATTTATAGAGGAGTAAGTTTTGTGAGGGTGAACTAAGGGACATGAACTAAAGGACTAAGGCCACAGAAACTCCCAGGCCTGGAAGGCTGAACCCAAAGTAGAGCTGGATGTTTGTTTCATCTAAAGTCTCTGGGGATAAGCCGGAGAGGTCACCCTCAACGTCAGTCTCGGAAGGCAATTTCATTTTGAACTGGACCATCAGAGGAAGTACTCCATTATTGGATGTGTCCACAAACTTCGATTTAAAATTCGATTAAATTTTAAATAAATTCAAAGGCCGATTTGGAATAACTAGAGACTTAGTGAGGAATCCTTAGTCTGCTGCCAATTAGAGAAGACTCTTAAACCAGGAAATGTCCTTCTGAGTTGTTAAAATAGAGCTTTATGCATTTTGATAGTCCTAATTAAAGAGGGTCACTGTGAGCTCATTATAAAGTTGTATTCATTCTTGAAGTTTAGTTATTTAAATATTAGATATCCTTCCGTTGGGATATGATGCTTATAAATGTGATGAAATTTTAGATTACTAACATTTAACTTGATATATGTGACAGAGACTGTTTGACTTTATATAGTTATTAATTGAGTGCTAGACACTGTATTAAGCTCTTTGGGGATAAATTAAAGATTAATTAGATATAAAATCTTAAAGTAGCTAAACTTTGAAGCAGAAGGAAGAGTCAACAGTCTGGGACTGCAGAGAAGGGAGAAATGAGAAACTAGTTCAGATGGTAGAAATTACAATATGTTTGGGACACATTGAGCTGTGCTTAAAGGAGGTAGGATTTGAATACAGGGAGCTGGAGTGGAGAAGGTTGTCTAGATTCAGACTATGATTTTCAGGGCATTGTGTAAAATACTCTGTATGAGTTAAGTAAGTTATACTATCTATTTCTGTGGAATTTATTTTTTTTTCTGCCAAAGCACATTAGGAAGTTGATTAGGACTGCTTAACTCCTAGGACCAAGGAACTCTCAAGGCCAAGGCACATGCTAAGGTCATCAGCACCACCTCTAGCTTGCCTAGTCAGCCCAGAAGCTGGTTCAGGTTTAACAGGACACCTCAGATCTCAAGTATCGTGAAGCTGTCATTTTGTTCCAGAAACTAGGTCTACCTTCTTCAGGTGAAAGAACGACTTCTCTAAGAATAATAAACAAAACTGGGAAAACTCAACTGCTTCTCTTCTCTTGATTTTAGCTGTTCTTTCTTAGTGGTTTTCTGGTTTGAGCTTTTTTTTCCGCCCTCCAAAATTGTGTTGTTGAGTATAGTACTTCATTCTATACACACCTATTGAGCTGTTCTGTGTGTGGTGCCCTTTGCTACATGCTGGGGCCTGGGGTAAACCACACCCCGCAGTCTTGCACCTAAGTCCTCTGGGTATTCTGGCAAGGCTGGCTGCCACATCACCTTCCAAATACAAATGAAGAGCCAGCAGCAGAAGAAAGGGCAATGACTCCTCTAATTGAACATGATGAGGGGAGGGAACCCTCCCCTCAGGGCAAACAGAGCAACCTCATCAAGAAAGCTTCTTGCCCTATTTTTCTTTTGGAATTATAAAAGACAGCTGCACACAACAGAAACACAGCCAAACTGGAACCTGTGAAACTAGCCATGGTGCTTTTTCTTGAAGGATTAGGAAAAGGCTTTTGTGGATGTAAAGAGGGTCCCCCCACCCCTCCTCTTAGCATAGCAATGTAATTTCCTCCCTTGATTTCTGGGCAGAAAGTTAGCATTCCAACAAGATGTGCTTTAATTGATGGCAGCTATTAAATCCCTTGGCTTACATGCATATGGTTCAGGATATAAGAGCCACATGGAATTTTAAATCTGATCATTATTCTTTCTGTATGTAGGAAACTTGACAAAGGCATTAAGAAAAGGGATGGTGAGGGGGTGGCGCCTGGTTTGCACACAACGGACCTTAGAGATTGAGGACAATGAACTTGAAACCTCATCAATACATCTTCTGGTCCCACTAGGTTTTCAGATCTATACCCTGGCTTCTAAACTGTGAGTGTTACATCCAGGGAGGCCAGCTCCCCCAGGGATGATCAGAAGATCAGGAGGGCCACTGGCCAGGCACTTCTGCCCTGGATGCTCCTTCTCACCATCAGCCTTTAATGCCTCCACTCTATTCTACCCAGGCTACACTTGCACCAGAACTCTTTACTGGCCAATTTATGGTGGAGTCTAAGATATTTTCTCTTTCTGCAAATGATAAATATTCAAGAGCAAGGCCAGCATATTAGCATATTCACTCTCCAGTGTATTTTCATTAGTGCCTGGCAAATCTTTAGGTAACACTGTTTTACATTAAAAACAATGGAAGACTTCAGCATCAGGCTGTTCCTAGAATTATTGATTGTTTAGAGAATGTGGCAAATTTTCCCTAAGTCTCTGTAGAGAAAAGAGATCCCTAAAGTGTCTTTTAGAGGAAAAACCAGTATCTTGGGACTCCAAATAATTGTATTGATAAAAATACATATGTTTGCATCTCAAATTCTATCTTTGCCAGGAAAAAACTTCTAAAATCACTTATCCATGGCTGCCAGTTTAGTTTAGTTCCTGTTCATCCTTGGTTAAGAAAGAGCCAAAGACCTCTCTCTTTGCTGCTTCAATGCATCGGGAGCCTCTGCCTGACTTAGCTCTGCTTTACAGGGGCCCGAGTCTCAGGCCAGCCCATCCGGCTCTCCACCTCACTCTGCCACCCTGTCCACCTGGCTACACCCTGCTCTGGTCACTTACCTCACTTTCTTCAGCAGGGGGTGGGGGTACCTCCTTGATAATCTGAAAAGAAAAAAAAGAACAAGTCAGTAAAAATATCTAGCCATTGCCTTCCAGGAGGCCTGCTCTGCTCTCAAGAGGTACCTTGATAGTGTGGCCATAATTACCATAGTAACAGGCCCAAGCAAGGCAGGCTTTGTCAATGCTATGATGTGTCCTTCTGGGCAGAACAGCTCAGTTAGTTAAAGCATGATCTGGGCTGAGGTTCCACTCTCAATTGAGTCTGTTGTAGTTTTGTATAAAGAAAAAAATGTTCCAAGGTAACAGTTTTGTCTCTTACCTCAGGGAGCTACCTGGCAATTTTATTCACTCATTTATTCATCTAGTCGTTCATGCATCAAATCATTCACTCATTCATCCAATCAGCTACACATTTAACAAAGAATTGTACATGACAGAGGTTAAGACGGTGCAGCAGAAACGAGTCAGGTATGGACCACACTCAAGCTGTTGGTGGTCTTGTCAACAGTCACTAGCCCCAAGTGGTACCCGTGTGGGAGGGTGGGATGGTCAGGCAGAGGACAAAAAAGGAGAGGTAGCTAGGGATTTCTTTCATGGATCTGAACTTTAAGGGATACAAAAATTTACATAACAATAATAAAAGATTGTATTCTGAAACTGCCCTGTCATTAAGGCTGAAGAGAGACATGTGTACACTCCGGGCAGGCAGTGACTGGGAGCCCCTTTCAACCAATGAAAGGAGGAGTGACACATGGGAGAAGGGCAGAGAAGGAGGACAGCTGGGTGACAGTAAGCAACCTCTCCTCACTCTGTCCCCAACTTGCCCACACCACTCACAAAAGGAAAGTCCTTGCAGTAAATTAGATTTTGAGTCTTTTACAAGGCAGTTTGGCAATTATCTGCTGTGACTCCACCATGTCCTTTCGGGGTTCCCTCCTCTCATCCCAAGCTTATTATTGGAATTTTGGCTCCCCTACATAGAGTCCTTTTCTTTAGAGGATTCTGGTAAATACAAAGCTCATTACCTATCTTGTGATGTTTTAGTGTTGGGGCCGGCGTGGACCTCTGTGGGTGGGTGCTCAGGCATTGCTCAGAGGACCAGTTTCTTAACTTTCTAGTTGGAGATCTCTCCCAGCTACAGGGCAGGCTGTTCACTAGGCATCAAGCTCCACCCTACTAAGCACATATCTTGTTTGACTTAATGATTATTCCGGTACCTCACTTGGGCTGTCATCCTTACTGCTAATCCATGTAATCCATGCTACCATCTCATCCTTACTGCTGTAATCCATGCTACCATAATCTGTAATGTCATCTCTGTACGTTGAGACAGGCTACTGACTTGAGGTTCTGTTAATACCAGCCAGGGGATTAAGACTCCAGTCATCTAAAAAGACAGTATTCAATTAATTAAGAAGCAGAGGCTAAGACCTCCAGGGGTTTCAAACTATCATTTCATCTGCTTCCACTTTCTGACCATTGTCAAGAGCCTGCTGAAGGTCTCTGGAAAGCATGAAGCCACGATTTTGCTCACCCACTCAACACTGGCTCAGAATTCCTTAAGGAAATCTCTAGGGAGGACCATCACTGTCTAGTGATGATTCTCCATCATCCCAGAGGCAGTGATGCTCTAAAAACAGGAAATGCTTGGGAATGGGAGGGAGGGGTGAGGGGCTGGAGACACTGATCTAGAATGTGTCTCTTCTCTTAGGGCAGGGTTAGGGAGGGGGATGAGAGGGAGTTAGACACTGAGGAACAAGACAGGCGTTGACAAGAGTGCTGTGGGCAGTGCGCATGGTATACAGAGGTTCGGTATAAAACAGCTGGGCTTTTGTCTTCACAGGGCTACCAGCTTCCTCCCTCACTGCATGGAAGCACGGTGTAGTTGTCAGCTGTGAACCCTGACCTGCCTTTTTCTGACTGTGAGGATTTGACAAGTTCTTGATCTTCCCTGAGCTCCACTGTCCTCTTCCGTTAAATGGGAGCGATAACATTAACCTTGTAGGAACTGAGTCATGATAAGCAATAACATTTGTAAGACATCTGGTTTAGAGTGGGTGCTCAAGAGATGGTGTGTACTATTATTATTATTCTCCTTTCTCTTTCTTGCAGTCTCCGTGTCTTGCTTTTGTTACATCTTTAACAAAGTTTTCACTTAACCCCCTGTATACACTAAATGGCTAAGCATGGTCCTTTCCAGATGGAGCTTCATAAAATGAGTTCAGACAGGGGCCAGGGGACCTGATAGTAGCCAGAGGTTTTGAGGGAGTGGGCATCAGTGTGTATCATCACAAATGTGTAGGCATATGACATCAGCCACACAGAAAGTATAGCACCAGAGACCCAATACTCAGACGAACCCATCTGTGGGTTACTGTTTAATGTGACTTACTGAATATTTAGTGAATTTTATAGCCAACAACGCCTCAAAGGAAACCCAAAAGACAATGCCAAAATACACGACTTAGTGAGTATAAATCAAAAGTAGACTAATTTGTAATCCACATTCTATGCTGACACACTGCAAATTGGATACCTGAGCTTCTGGGAAAATGCCACCATTTAATCAGGATTTAGGCACCTCCAATCTACTCTCGTTGGTTGAATGTCTG